CGGTCGCCGCCACTGTCATCGTTGCCGTTCACGCCGACATCGGTGTCGCCAACGCGCTGTATTATCGTACGATCAACGATAAAAAAGCGAGCCTTTTTCGCTGCACCTCTTCCGCTTCGCTGTCGCACGTTGTTTGTCTAGCGTAGCTTGACGGAGCAGAAATCGCGGAGATCGGGCGAAACTAGCGCTTCTCGACTAAATCTAAAAGACAGTAGGTTTAAGTGTTTTCTACGCTTTCGCGTAAAGTTGCCCTAGAAACGCGTGATAGCGCGCGTTCACACGGCCTCGCCTTACCCATCCAGATTTCACGTTTCGTAATTCGTCGATCGTACACTTTCCGCGAGATCGCGGCGTTAAAATGTTACGAGAGTTTTTGAAAACGGCCCCGGGAGGCCGAGGCGAATCGAGGAGGAGTCGCGGTACAAAAAAAAAAAAAAAAAAAAAAAAAACAGATGAAAAAAATCGTACGCCTCAACTTTTCTGTCCGAATACTTCCGTAAACTGATATATATATATATATAGATAATCTAAGAAGACGAATAAATTATTATTATCACTTGGTTCATAACATTTAGACATAGCTAATTTTAATTAGGCGCAATTGATTCGATTGTAATTAAATTACATTGAAAATATGTGAGCGAGTGTGGTATATATATTTTAAATTTATCATACAGAGAACAAACGAGTTTCTCCTCGCAAACCCAACAGCTAGAAAATTCGATAGCATCCTAGAAAATGCACGTTTCCGCGCCAAACCTTGTTTCACAATTAAAACTTGTCTCGTTCGTGGGACCCGTTAAAACCTAACCTAATTAACGATCGAAACTTTCCATAATTTCGAACGATCACCGTGACATCAGTTGTTTTCAAGCGTTGTATTATATCGTAGCAACGTTTCTGCTGATTTCTTACTTTGGAATCAATTCCAGTTACTTTTCCAAAATCTAAAAAAAAAAAAAAAAAAAAAAAAAGAAGAGAAAAAAAGAAAAAATGGAAAAACAGCGCGTTTTAAAACGATGCATCGAGGGCAGGGGGCGGAAGCGACGACGTTCGCGGTGGCGAAAGCAGACACGAGGTGCGCAGCGACGTTACGCGGAAAAACGAAACGATTCGTTCTGTGTTTTCATCGTAAGACGGCGTTTCGTTTCGGGGGTCGTCTTTCTTCGAGCGGCATAGCACGATATTTGGTTGTCTTTTTTGTCGCGAACAAAGGCTGGTGTGATTTTTGTGATATTTTGTAAAAAGCAGAAATTTCATGAAGCATATAGTTAATTGAAGATGTACAAGCGTACGCGAGACTGTGTGTGTAACGTTGTTATACTTACGATTAGAACGGAAGAATGCATGCGTCCGTGTGTGTGCGCGTGTAGCTATGCGTAGATGCGTGTAAGGAAAAGGAGAAAGAGAATATATGTAATCGAAATAGGAGCATTTATTTTTGTGCCGTGCATTTTACGAGAACACGGAGAATGCGAGCGAATCTATCGATCGATCATTTTCGCGAATCCATACGTTCTATGTAACGTTACGTACGGTTTAGCGTGACAAACATTGTATCGCGCGGATCAAAGATTTTAGCACGCAGACTCTTGTGTAGTATGCGCGAGATAAAGAAAAGCGCGTATGCGCGCGTCGAGTACAAGAAATACATGTGTATATTGGATGTTATGTGTCCGCAAGAATCTCAAGTGTTCGTCGTGTATCGTCCCATATTTTTACCAAAAATTTCGAAAATATCGAGCGCGAAACGTTCTTTTCGGTCGATTCGTGTCGCCAATTCCCACCTTCCTATGTTTACGGGAGCCCGTTTCTTTTTCCGCCTTCGTTGTCGTTCTCCTTTCTTTCCTCGTCCTGCCCGTTCGCTCGTAAACCTCGTCTCCGCGATTTGCACCGTTTATATCAATTTCGTTTCCCTTTGTTCAAAGTACCTCGTTCCAGACCCACCCCACTCTCTCCCCTTTATATCCGTTTCGTGCGATCACCGTTCGATCGCCAACATGGAGGCGACCGTTTCTCTACTCTATATCAACTTCGACTCGATTCGACCGAACTCGATTCGTTCGACTATCGATTCCGGGATCGTATATGGCGATCGTCGTAACGGAACTTGTTGTTGACATTTTTGCGAGAATTTTATTTGTTTCGGCCAAAGGGACTTGCAACATTCCGGTATCGTTCGTAGAAAATCGATACAAGTTAGATGTAAATCGTTGATAATTCGCATCGAAAGCTGATTCTAATAAATGAACAAGAAATAAGAAATCGAACTCGCAGAGTATAAGAACGAAAATGGAAAAAAAAGTGTTACAATTACGTTACTGCACGTGTACGAATATGTCCATATTGCGTAAGCTTAAATGTATTAGTCATACATTTTTTATGTATATATAAATGTACCTCGTAAAGTAATTTTAAATAAAAACTATAGTCATTGTGTTACGCATACATTAACGACGGTACGTGCTTCACGGTATTACTGTCCCGGCTGATAGAAAACTACGTTCCGTTTGAAAGAACGAATTATTAACTCATCGAATACCATCGCTTGTAATTATTGCTTGTCAAACTAAAATCTCTGTGAAGATAGGCGTGAACGCGAGAGCGAAACTATCGTCGGTTGCTCTCGAGAGTATCGTTCGCGAGTGAACATTGCTTTGAGAGTCGCTGTCCGATCCACTATCGGATCAGATAATCACTCTCAACGCGGTGTCTGTCCACTTGGAAAAAATGCACTTGAGAGCAACCAGCGATAGTTGTGTATTATCAAGTGGACGCGTACATTTACTCCACTCAGCCTGTTACATGAAAAAAGCCAAACTCTATAGAAAGAAAATTAAATTCGTTTCGAGTATACATTGTTACGCGTATGTACATGTAAGTGCAATGGCATGTAACGGTAAATAGAAACAGGGACACAAGGTTGCTATTAACGTATCGACGATATACACGATTAGTTGGATATCTTCTAAATTTTATTTTCTTTTTTCTCTTTTCGTCTTTTCTTTGTTTTTTGTGTTTTTGTTCTTCGGTATACAGATTTACGTGATTACGTCTAACCCTGGAAAAATTCGAACCCGCCGAGTTTTGGATCAAGGATCGATGTTATTCGGCCGCGTGCGAAATATCGTCGCGTTTCGGCCAATTCGGCCAATTCATAACCATCTATGCAGTGATTGTTTACATTCAATAACGACAACGCAGTTATTCGCAGCTGTCGCTTCGTTTGCTACGTGTGCACATTCATATATACATACGTACATACAGGCGTGAGTCGCGTATACGTATACATGCATATGTAGGTACGTACTTATGTACACATGTATGCACGACGTCACCGATTAATTTTTACATTTATATTACTCATATATTTCTATATCATATTATATATATATATATGATATACATTTGTTAAATTATATATATATATATGATATACATATATATAATTATTTATTTATTTATTTATATACCACAGACAACACACATGCACACATACGCGCGCGCGCACGCGCATGTATATATGGTTTATATACGTATGTGTGTATATGTGAGTTATGCCATTATCAATATGTTACACTATAGATTATGTTTACATCGTAGCGACTTATAAATCTACGGAATATTATTCTTTTTTCTTTTTTCTTGTTGTATGTACAAGGATACTGTTACAAAGAAAAAAAAATTGTTTAAAAACTTATCAATGCCACGCGTTTACATGCGCGTGCGTGTATGGGCACGTGAGTACTATCTGTCACGGAAAAGCTACATGATCTTTCGTAATATAAACATATTAACTTGCTAATTCCCCACTTCTTTCTGGAGTCGGAAATCGTGCAGATTGCCGTCGAGAACAGATACAAAGATTTGAAAGGGTATACCACACACGAGTACTTTCCCACAAATCCAACGAAAGAAAAAAATCGGCTCTTTTAGGTTAGGTCCCGTTAGGTTACCTTTATCTTCCAACCGTAATTAAGTTACTCTTTGTTCGGCGATCGTGAACGGCTAAAGACTCGCGTCAGTACAAACTATATCGTGTTTCGAAATAAATAACGTCGACTCGTTTGCTTCGATCGTACCCACAAATTCGAACGTACAACGCTTGAGAACGTAATACCAATATCGATATCGAAACGAAACGATACGCAACGAACGCGAGCAGAAACGAACAAAAAGATCGAATCGGTTGTTCGCGTCGAACGATCACGTCTTCCCTAGCATCTGCACGAATCTTCTCCGCGACTTTTTCTTTCTTTGTAAAATTATACAAAAATAAGTTGCGTCACTCGTTCTTGATGGCTACCAACCGCCAGTCCTTTCTCGCTCTTCTCCTATTCTTCGCCGTGTCTTCCTTTTCGCGCTCATCATTCACGTTCTCACGTCGATTATCAATTATAAACGAGTTGTCAACCACGGTTCGATCAGCAGGCAAATACTTGCTTTTCGTTTCTACCACGTTTCGACACGGCGTGGCGCACCTATGCGAATTCAGTATGGAATAGACGTATCCTAACGTTTGCGAATATACTTCTACGAAATTACTGTTATCTATCGTTAAACGGTCCCTAACTAGACGTTCAAGGAATGCAACTTGGTTTACGGTCGCGCGCGATTCATCGTTACTTCTCGTTTTCGATAGTGTGTATGCGGCACGTGAACGTTTCGCGCGATCGGTAAACGCGCAATAACGAGATCGATTCCCTCGAACTGCAACCCGATGATCTTGTCGGCTGCTATACTTTGGCGATACTAATACTCTTTCGCGATTACGCAGCTACGTTGCTCGTCCTCGCGTGAAAAACGTAGTCAGTGGAAAAGTGAAACGGCAATATATATCCACGTTGACGGGCATCGTGCTGCGACGCACGCAGTCTTTCAAACGAAACTTAGAGATCTGTGTAGCGATTCGCTTAGCGCGGTCTTTATCCTCCGGTCGTTCGTCTTTTGATTTAACGCGAAACCTTGTGTATGTATGTGTGTGCGCGCACGTATGTTTATATGTTTATATGTATGTATGTATGTATGTATGTGTGCGTGCGTGTGTGACTATCTGTACGATGGACATATGTACAAAAGATATCGAATCGGATCACGCTTTGAACATCAGGTATATTCGTGTTCCGCGACTACAACAAACGGTAGGAAACATTTCAAACGATCGCTGCGTTTCACCCAGCTCGGCCCGTCGTCCTTATTTTACGGTCGAGAAGTTCTGTTGCGGATTTTGGTTCGATGATACCCACGTGGTGAACACGTCTCTGCAATGGCTGACCACGCATTCGTTGCTGCAATACTCGTCCTCCCATTCGCTGTTTGCTACGGCGGGGTTCGGGCATCCGTGACGTATACAAGCGTTCGACGTCGGTCTTTGAGCAGCCATGTTCGCAGCCTGAGTTACAGAGTTCACTGCCGACGGTGAACTCGACAAAGAATCGCTCTTCGTTGGGTTCGAATGTATCATTTGCTGCTGCTGCTGCTGTTGCTGTTGCGACGGTTGCTGCTGTTGCTGATGATGTTGCTGCGATTGTTGCGGTACTTGCTGCACTTGCTGTTGCGGTATCTGCGAAAACGTACGTATTCTCTACTGTTCAATTTGCCTCGTGGTAACATACTCGTACTTGCTGCTGCCTGGCGCTGTTGCTCACAACTGGCAGCATCGCGGTATGAAATATCGTTGCTGTTTTCTTTGCGCTTGTCGCGGCTCTTTACGCGTTAAGCACATTCGAACGGAAATGAATTAAACGTGGTAAAAAGGATGAATACGATGAAAGCGTGGGAGGACGAATCGAGACGGAAATATAAACGGAGAAGAAAATAATCGTCGAGAAGAAAAGAGACGCGAGAAAAAGAAAATGAATTCACATCGCTGCTGACCTGCATGTACTGTTGCTGCATATGCTGCTGCTGTTGCGATGGTTGTTGTTGCGAAATATGGGTTGGCGCCATCGATGTAGTCATCATAGTCTGAAAGAAAAGTATACGAAGAAGAGAATGGTAGCCAAGTTTTAAGACTAGAAGACTAAGACTTTAAGACTAAGAAAATAGAAAGAGGTGACAAACGGACGAAGAAAGACGATTACCTGTTGCGTTTGTTGCTGCTGCGAGTTTCCTGGCATGGTTAAATGGTGGGGAGATTTTTTTATTTGCATTTGTTGCGCGGGTTGCTGATGATGTTGAAGCTGTTGATGCGGATGAGGATGCGGATGTTGTTGCTGAGGCGAAGAAGGTTGAGGCTGCGGACTGTACACCTGATACGAGACGTTTCCCGGTGTTCCGTTCCCGGCGTAGCTACCATACGCCGTATATTGAACTTGTTGTTGTTGCGGCGATGGCTGTTGTTGCGGTTGCTGTTGCGGATGCTGTTGTTCGTTTTCGGCCGCACCCTTGCTAACCAGAGACGCTCTGTACGCCGCGAGTGCCTGCAGATATTCCTTTTTCGCTGCTTCAGTCTTCTTCTTGTAAACCTACATAAATATAAATTTCTTTGTACACAACGGTCGAGATGAAAGCGAAATTTCTATAACGTAGTCCACGCTCGCTTTTCTCAAATGAATTTCACGAGGACGAGGAACGAAGCAGCAGAAAGAAGAAGGAAGAAAATTATGTTTCGCGAGTACTCACGTTCTTATGCTCGGTCTCCAACGCATCCCACATCGAGGCGACGATCTTGGAAACTTCGCCGAAGCTCGCATTTGGATTTTGTCCTTTTATCGCAGCTTGGGTATCTCTGAAGAACAGAGCGTACGCCGAGACGGGCCTGTAAAATAGATAGCACGTGTCTAATACGACGATGGCAGGAGAGCGCACAAATTTTTGACGAAGAGCGATCTAGTCGATCTTTCGAACATTCTTTATCGTGGTGTTTCTCGTTTTCCGAAACTAGATTCGATTCGATCTGGCTACTTTCCGGATCTATTATAGCGCACGCGCGCTACTACGCCAAAGAGTTCGGCGAAAAAGAAAGAAAGAAAGAAAGAAAGAAAGAAAGAAAGAAAGAAAAGTAAAAAGAATGCTCACTTTTGCGGTTCGTTGGGATCTCTTTTCTTCTTCTTTTTCTGCGATTTCGGTTTCCTTTGATTTTTTGCTGCAACGTCGGTCGGTTCCGGCGAGGGTCGTTTAATGCCGGTAATCTGGACAAACGACCGCGAATCGTGCCACATTCGTTCGTTGTTTATACATGATCGGTCAGATTCGAGATGCGTGCCAATCGATCGACTAAAACTCACCATTCCGGAATGAGGTGTACTGTCGTCGCTATCTTCGCTAGTCGTAGTATTGTTGTTTGCCTCGGGGATCGTGCTTGATTGTATCGCGGATGGACTACCACCCGTTGGACTCCTATATTGTATTTGTTGTTGCAACTGCTGTTGTTGCTGCTGCTGCTGCTGCTGTTGTTGTTGCTGCTGCTGCTGTTGAGTATGCATGTATTGCATATGTTGTTGCATCTGTGCCTGTTGCTGTTGCTGTTGCTGCTGTTGAAGCAACATTATTTGCTGATTTCCATGCTGTTGCCGCGGAGAATTCATGCTCGCATACGAACCCTGCGAGTTACTATACGTCGAGCTACCAGAAAACATCGAAGAAAAAGATGTTTGTAGATGATAGTTAACGAGGATCGTTTCTTGCGGATTCGAGAATGGAATTGGCGATCGCGCGCCGATTCTGCTTCAGTGGCAAGGTTATCTCATCCGTTATCTAAATCGCACGCGGATCCGATTACGACTCCGACTCACCTAACGTTCATCGACTGCTGCATCGAGTGGTCCTGCTGTAGATAAAGAGATTGTTGATATCCACCCGGATCGAGATTCAACCCATCCGCAGACTGTTGCACGTTGCCGGTTTGCATCATCTGCGAAAGCCATTCGAACGGTGCTGATCATTCGAACGAATCCGTAAAAGCGGAACGCTCACGTACTATACACATTTCATCCCCTGCGAAACTTTTGTCTCGTCTTGGATGAAATTTACCTGCGTTTGGTAACCGTGCATCGGATCGTGCTGAGATTGAGCCTGAGGCTGCTGCTGCTGCGACTGGTGTTGCTGCTGTTGCTGCGGCTGCTGCTGCTGTTGATGTTGATGCTGCTGATGCGAGTGCGAATGGATAGCCGGTATGTCGAAATCTTCATCACCGAAACTGGGAGTGTGAAACGTCTACGAAGGAGAGCAACAAGCTGGACATTTTAATCGGTGATTCGAGGAGTATGATCGCCGATTCGGAACGTAGAACATCGCGCGTCCGCATGGCTGTTGTTTCTGTTTAATCGGGCTTCCGCATAGTCTGTTCGATCAACGAAATACCCACGGCAGAGAGGCTTATAGAAGAGAGAGATTGAGAGAGAGAGAGAGAGAGAGAGAGAGAGCATCGTCGTCGTATCGTTTGAAATCCTTTCAGCGATTTATTAGCGTTTCGGAGCGGGGAACGGAGGAAAATACATTTGCCGTGTAGAGCGCGTCGGGACACGGGGAATAAAAGTTTTTAAATTGGATTTAATAGCATCAGGAATTTTCCTTTGAAGGAACGTACTTGCCTATTGATCGAGTACACCTCTGCCTCTCTTCCCTCGCCGTGCCCATCGCGAGCGTTACCCCTTACCTCGCGATGTTTCTCTTACTCTATCGTTTCGCTCTCGCCTCTCTCTTCTCTCCCCTGTCCCTTTTCACCGCGCTTCGCCCCGTAACGTCCCGACGCCGCCCGTGTGTACGCGTACCCGTACCCGTACCCGTACCCGTCCTATTTCAACTACTCCTACACCTTCTACTTCTACTCCTA